CGGGGTTCTTCTACCTCACCTTTATTTTTTGCATAACCAATACAGTACCAAGAATAGTCAGGATTATACCATAACTCGCGACTTGGTTTGTATCGGTTGATACGAAAATTTTTCACATCTGCTGATCGCATACATAGCATTATCATTATGTCTATTAGATTTTGCATTGAAGGAGGCTTGGTAGTATCACATTCGCTAAGTCTTTCCTGAACCTTTTCCAGGTAAAAGAACTCAGGACAATCATAATCATTAATTCCACAAAGTATATGTTTTCTTGCTTGAATCTGATTTGCTTCTTCAGTAATAAAGGGTATTTTCGTTGTCTCAATGATGAAATAATCAGCTCCTAAGCTATGCAATTTTTTCTGTAATAAATTAAGACGAGAATTTCCCGCAACAGTAGTAGAAGCAGAAGAAGCCAAGTCATATGCTATTCTATTTATTTCTTCAGGTGAGAAATTATTTTTTATAATATCTTGGGCAATAATTTTAATAGGATCTCTTTCATTAACATGTCTCCCAGGAGCTCGAATAGGAATAAGAGTATCAGCTTGCTCCTTACTTAATCCCAATTCTTGGAAGCATCTTTTGGCCTGATCTCTGGATTTTTGGGCCTGCTCTTTTGTTTTGCCATTTGAAAGTTTACTAGCCAACTAAGTTGTGGTAAACTAGTTTGAGGAGTCAATTTGTAGCGATTTACAAATGATGTAGCGATTTTTGCCATAGTTTGTATATGTTGGTTAAGATGTTTTATATAGACTACTTTCGTCTGATATATACTATGGAAATTCTTTTTTCAAATTGAAATTAATTATGCTTTTTTCTCCTATACCTAGAGAAAAAGAGTTTATGTACTTGCATAAGCAAGAGTAGTATGTCGATTTAAAATTTACTAACATATAGGATATAACAAAAAAAAATTTATAGCTTTGGAGGTAGGATCTCAGGCTATATTAATTGTATATTGTGTTTTATTTTTAGTATATTGCTCGAGCTAGAATTAATATATGTTCTGGCTCTAGAACATTTGCCTTGGTGAATGTATCATATAAGGTGTTTGGACTATATTTTGAGAAAATCAAATTCGGATGATAGAGAAATTTCATAATTATAACACTTCTCCATTCGCACACTTTATTACTATCCCAACACATTTCTAATAATGCAGATAAGCTGAAGTAATTCATCTCGATCAAGTTATCTAAAGA